GACGGCACTTCACAACAACAAAATAAGGAAACTAGAGTTCTGGAGGGGCACTGTGGGTTAATGCGTCAGACTGCAAGGTCAGTTTGAACTACAAGGTCGGTAGTTCAAGCTCACCAGCCGCTCCTTGGAAATCCTATACAGGGTCGCTATGAGTCAGAACCAACTCGAAGGCACTTAACATCAACATAAGGAAACCTGGTGGTGCTGTGGGCTGTTAACTGAAATGTTGGTGGTTCAAATGTACAACTACTCTGCAGGAGAACAATTAGGCTGTCTGCTCCTATAAAGATTTACAGAATCGATTCAATGAGTAAAAGTAAATTCAATGGCATTGATTTTTTTTCTTTCTCCTTTTAACATAAGTCAAAAGGATTGCATCAGTAATACATTCTATGATCTTCCATCAGTTTCTTCATTTACTGAGCCTGATGGCCTTCCCTCTTGGATAATCTTTGAGGTTTTCTCAACCTTTCTTAAAATGTTTGATCCATCTAAAAACTATTCTTTTATGTGGGGCAGCATTCCTGTAAAGTTGTTGCAAAACTTCAATGATTTGGGAAGATGTCCACTTGAGTTTTACTGAAAGTTTTATATTAGTGCTGACCTCATCTTTTTTGTGAAGGCACACTAATAAGACTAAGAAATCTTGTCTGCAACAACCCTCTGATCTTAAATATATGCGGAAACATGTTTTGTTTAGAATAAACCCAGGCATGCATGATCTAGAACCATAGTAGCAAAGCTTTTTGACTTGCCCCCATACTGCATTATCAGTATTAAGAGGACTGGAAGGATTAGTGGTACTACATTATGAAAACTGCAACCAATATCATGAAACAAAATGGGTATAAATTGTTGAATAGAAACAATGATTTGCTTTATAAAATTTCACCTAAAACACAATTTAAAGTTTTAAACAATTTTAAGTAGATTGTAAAACAAAAGATAAATGTGGGTTTATTGTGATGACTGTCCAATTAATTAAAGTAAAAATGAACTTAAATGTCCTGTTTTGCTATTCAGAGACAGTTCTGTATCTCCTAAATAGAACAACATTCCCCAAAGTGTGTTTTGTTTAACAGATGTTACATGGAAAAAAAAACAAAACCAGGCTTTGGGGTCAAATTAGTTTAGGAAATTCTGGGTTAAGCCAAGTTAATTCTTTATTGCCAAATGTGTCAAATTGTGTATGTGCATTTTGAAATACCTTAAGAAGATACTGTATACAGTGTTTATCAAATTTATTATTATTATTTTTTTTCCTTAAGGAATCCCTTTATCTAGGGCATTCTTGAGAGCAATAGAAAAAAGCTATGAAGATTGAAACATTTAAAAAATAAGAATAATCTCATTTGGGTAAAATCAGAGAGATCTCTTTAAAGTGTTAAG